CCGTCCATCCCTGCAGCTCTGGCCTGCTGCAAATTAAATAAATAAATAAATGTATAAATAAGAAAGAGCCACAGGCACCGCGGCGCAGAGGCGTGGGAGGCAGCAGGAGCTGTGCTGGGCCGGGGGTGAGGATCGGTGCTAGCCGGTCGAGCAGCAGCCCGCTCTTATTTTCCTCCCATACTTCAAGTATATTGAGGCTGCTTCTCCTCCTTTTGTTCAGTGCCGGGGCACAACAGAAAAATGTGTTTGGGGAATTTCAGCACTTGCCAGGTCATGGGGGAGGTCACTCCGCTTTGTTGGGAGAGAGGCAGGAGAAGAAAGGGGGCAATCAAATATCCTCCTCGAGACAGCTTACAAGCACATGTCTCATGCTGTCAGGGAGCTGGGCTCTGGCGTGACACTTCCAGCTTCTTGTCTTCGTGCCAAGCTGGATGTATTTGGTATATGTTATATATGTGAGAAGTGGTCACCACTTCCCCCGCAGACCACAGCTTTCAGGCATATTATAAGGGGGCTATTGTGCGGGATTAAACACATTTGTTGTGGTTTAAGCATTACGAGTGTGTGACTGTTTGCACTCGCTGTAGAGCTGTTACTAACATGGGCTGCCGAGGCGCTCATACAGGGGCCATCATCACGGCATCGCGTGTCGAGAGCCATGCGCTAGCGGTTTGGTTGTGTCACCAGTGAAGACCAGGGATTTTAACACCGCTACATCCCTAGGAATCAGAAGGGAGGCCCAGATATGCATGGGAAGTTACTAATGGAGCTGCTCCGCTCCAAAATAACTGAGATTTTCTGGAATTAATCTTTCAGATGGGTGCCATATTGAGGAAAAAAAAACATGTATTTTTCCTGGAATAATTTTTCTTCTTCAAAAGCAGGTCAAGCGAAGGTCACTGGTTGGGCACCGCCAGGCTGGTCCGCTCTAGGGGGCGTTTGAAAGCACTGTGAGTCAGACTGAAGTAAGGCACCTCACATGAAAATATACCCTCACTCTCCGTGCAGGTTGTTGGTATTTTGTGACTGCGTTTTGATGGCACTTTTAGAATGAGGCTTAACCTCAGAAACAGCTCATTTAGGATCCCCCACGTTTGATAAAATCCCTCAGAATGGATGCTGATACACTTTGAGGTCATTTGAGAAACAGGTCTGCTGAACAAAAAACGGGCTCAGTGTCTAACTTAGTTCTGTCCAAATCAACACTGGCACTTCTGTCCCGTTGTTTATTTTTATCCTCGGATTCCATAGCGTAATGGAAGAAACAACTGACGATGGGATTTGATTCTGATACCATTCCTGGAGGAGCCATCTTAGTGCTCTGGGCAGCAATTTTCAAACACTCTGCCTGTATGGAATAACCGTTCACATCCAAACCAGTCAGGCTTAGTCTTTGATTTTTCTCGAGTAGGGTTACTTTGCCAGGATCTCCAAGGTAAAACCTCTGCCAAAGTCCTGACCTCTGTGGCAAATGGAAATCCCGGGCACTTTTCACTCTAGTCACACATCCTAAAGCTCCCCTCACAGCTCATCACTCTGGGCGTGGGGTGATTCCTATGCCACCGATGGCCTTATGCCATTGCCTTATATGCTTCCCAAAGCCTAACTTGGGTCTCAGTGGTGGCTGAACTCTGTAAGACAGCAGATGTCTAGCAAATATGGCAGCAAAAATAAGCAACTATCCTCAAAGAGAAACTGAAGAGACGCTTTGCCAGGAGTCAGTGCTCAGTATGCCAGACAGGTTACCTGTGCAAAGTCATCAGAGCTTACAGTAGCTAGTAGCTTCAAAAGCAATAAAATACCACTTTCATTTGCTTTATTGCAAGCCGTATTTCTCAACAGCTACAGGCTATGCTCAACTTACATTTTTATTTCTGCTCAACGAAATTTAGTTCTAGGAAAACTGCTGACAGAAATGGTTGTTTCTATTGGCAAGATTAACTAGTGTTTGCCCCCCTTTAAAGAGAGGGCATTTAAATAATTGTTTGCAGGATGGAACAGAAAGCTCGAGAGTTGTTTTCCATGTTATTATTCCTAGCAAGGGTGAACAGCACACGCATTTTTTTCTCAAAGCTGTATTTTCCTGACAAAGGGAATTCCAAGCAGGTCTTGCACTGTAAACTCTTTGCAGCAGTGATTACCTCTCCAAAAGCTACTACGTAAAATGAAGCATGCTTGAAGAACTACTTGCAGAATATTAATGTTGCAAGATTGCACAGGAAAAGTAGCCAGGGAGATTGCTCCTTGCTGGGCTGCTGTCTGCTCCTTCACAAGAGCCAACTGCTAATATTACTGCTCTGAGCAACTGCAGCAAAAATACTGTGCAAACAGAAGAAAGTTGTTCTCGCAAACTACAGAAGACTTGGCTGACATATCAGGAATAAGAGAAAGAAGTTGAATTTATTCTGAGCTGTCAGAAGGAAACCGTACAGATGACGTTGAGGAATAAACATGAGGATCAATGAACCACTCAACTACAATGAAATTCCCATCACTTTGGTGGATGTTGTCTTTGCCTGACACACACCTGGGACTGTTACCTTCTTTATAATTTGTCAGTCTTACAGGGGCTGTCCTGCCAATAAGGTGTTATTGAGCTGAGGCTGTTGTGCAATTTCACATGCAGGATACTGCTGCAGCCTCTCCGCTGCCATGCACTAGGTCTGGCTTTGGAGAGGAACTGGAGCTCGAGAGGGGACATGCATCAAAGGCCACATGCATTATTCAGCACCCTCCGGAGGAGAAAACTCTGCACTGCTGCTGCGATGTGCTGACACTGCTAGTCTTGCTTGTTTATAGCTATAAACAGGTCTCAAAAAAAAGAAAAAAAAATAAAAAGGAAACCTGAAACCCGTGCTGCAGCAGAAGCAATGGAGGATTTCTGCTTAGGGCAAGGACTTTCATGCAAAACTTCTCCCTCTTCTTGGTCTTCTGTTGCTTCCATGCACCCCTCCAGCCCTTCCATGTGAGCCGCAATAAGCACTTTTAGAGAGCGTAGAGCCAGGCAGGCAAATCGGAGCAGCAGCTTCCTACAGAGCGGATGCTGCAGCTTGGTGTGTGCTGCGCGTGCACAAGGGCGATATCAAGGGGTTTTCGATGGGCTGTGCTGCGAGTGCCAAAGGCACCAGTTGAATTGGGCAAAGTAACCATAGTGACCGTGAGTTTCCGGGACTCACAGGAATGACAGGGATGACAGGCTGACAGGATTACCCTTCCAAGCACTGCTCCCTCAGAGAGGAGCCCCAAAGGGAGGGCACAGGAGTTGATTCAGCGCGCATGAGTACAAGGGCCAGCCACGGCAGGCCTCCGCAGGAGCGGGGCCCACAGCAGCGCTAAACACCCTCCTGGTGCTGCTATTTTGGCATCGAAATCGCCTGTGGGGGGCATAAAACAAAGAGGAATGGGGAGGCGCGCACAAAAATGATGCGACCTCCTTTGGAAGGACGGCTGGGACCCTCGCCCTGAACAGTGCCAGGCCCGGAAATGAAGGACGAGGGAGGGCCAATGTGTGGGACAGGAGCTGGCGTGCTGTGGGCACAGGAGGGGTGGCCGACGCGGCAGCACCACAGCATGAGGTCAGAGGTGTCACTTGCGTAGCAGCTGGGGAGGCTGTCGTCTCCTCAGGTGACCCGAGCACCTCGATGGCGCTGAGGCCTGCGGGCCAGGGAGCCCCGTGCTTCACGCTCACTCCTCCTGGCGCTCCGTGCAGCTGGACCTCTGCTGTTGAGCAACAAGGGCTTGATGCCGAGCAATTTGTTGCACATCAGGGCTTTTTCTGTGAAAAAAAGCAGCCCTTGCTGTGCCACCCGCACCTGGACGGGAGAAGTCACTTGTGCTGCCTGCGAGCCACCAAGACACAAATGTCGCTGCTCCTTCCACGCTCCCGCTCCTGCCAAGGCGGCCATGCGGGCAGAGATGCTTTACGACAAAAATGCCATGGCTGGAGGAATGGATTTAACAGAGCTGCTGACTCTGGCTTAATTCCAGTGCTGCAGAAAGGACGGATTTGGGAAAAGTGCCCTGTGGGGACAGAGTGTTTCTATGGCATTCCCAGAGCTGCCCTCAGGTAGCTGCAGCACCATCCCAGTCTGCAGCGCGCAGCTGGTCCGGCCCGCAGGATGAAGGGGCTTGTGCTCAGTGGGGGAAAGCGCCTTGGCTGCCCATTAAAAAAAAAAAATTACGCCTGCCTTCCTTCACACCACAGAACTAAAAATGCAGTGCAATAAAATAATGAAATGAAATGAAATGAAATGAAATGAAATGAAATGAAATGAAATGAAATGATGAGGTAAAATAAAACAAGGTACAGTAATAATCTTGGCTGATGCATTTGCAATTATGAAAAGCACAGTCGAGAAGGACGCCTTGATTTCTGCGCGCTGCCAAGCTGAAGCCTTCAGCGATGCGCCTCGTTCCCTTTTCATCATCATCATTATTTTTATTTATTTATGTATGTATGTAGCTGGGGGAGGTCCATGCCGGGCAGCCCCGGCCGCCCCGG